ATGCCCAGGTGGGTTTTGAATGTCTCCAGAGAGAGAGACTCCTTGACCTCCCTGGGCAGCCTGTTCCAGTGCTCTGCCACCCTCAATGTAAAGAAGTTCTTCCTCATGTTGAGGTGAAACTTTTTATGTTTCCGTTTAGGGCCATTACTCTGTGCCCTGTCTCTGGGCACCACTGAAGAGAGTCTGGCACCATCCTCTTGGCACCCTCTTGGCCTTTGAGATATTTGTATGTATTGATGAGATCTCCTCTCAGTCTTGAAGAGTAGACAAAACAGGCCCAGCTCCTGCAGTCTCCTCTTAAGAGAGATGCTCCAGTCCCCTGGTCATCTTTGTGGCTTTAACTTGGCATTTTAATAGTTCCAGAACAAAGAACTTGTCTAGGTTACCAGGGAGTATAAGTAAGATGCAAAGAATATGTACGGTCTTGTATTTCTTATTGCTTAAAAGCAGAGAAGTGCAGAGAAACAAGACAGAAGTTTAACAGTCCTCGAAGAGATCTGTTTCCTGAAGATTTTGTTTGGAAAAATAGTTACACTGTGGGGTTTTGGGTTGTATGTTTTATAACTTCTTTTTATGTCAAATGGAAGGAGTGGTATTTCATCTTTTCTTATGTTTTTGTCAGGCATTGAGGGCTACAGATGGGTTCTATATTGGCAGTTGCTATCCCTGAGGTGTTTGTTGTTTTTTTTTTTATTATTACATGTTTTAATAAGCTGGATTTCTTTTTACTACGTGCTTTTTCAAGCTGGATATTTTGACATGCTTGTAGTTTGACTCCAGTGGCTATAGTGAAAGTGTCAAAGGACAAGCAGTATTTCGAAGGGCAAGAACTTCTTTAACACATCTTCTCTGAACACTTTTCTTGCCAGCTATGGAAGGAGCTTGTTTTTTGAACAGTTACCCAATCCTGGCTTTTTTTTTATCCAGTTCAGCTATGTTTACCCTATGGGTGTTTGGGATGAGGAGCTAGAAAGACAGAAAGAAAGAATTCATGTTTACTGCTAGGTATGCTTTTGACAATTTGCTGTGTCGTGTCCATTAATTTGCTTAGAGCTGTTGGTAGGAACTGGGAAAATGGAGATACAAAACCAAACTCTTTGAAGTACATCTGTATAGCAGTACAGCCTTCTAAATGAAGGTGGCTGAAAATCTGATTTCTTCTATTCACTGCATTTATGCATAATATTAAGTTACCATTTACTTTCTGTGTGCCATTTGATCCCCAGAAGACTCTGAGTGGGTGGAATGTGTGGGACTTTGCCTGTTCTGCCAGAGCTGATGGTGTCTTCTGTGACTGATAAATCAAAGTAGCAGCAGCATCCCACCAGACCTTGATGCCTCTTGCTAGTCATGCTCTAGTCACAAAGCAAGCTTACTGATAGCTTCACTGGGTTTCCTCCCTTCTTGCCAAAAAACACTCTCTAGTTACTTGTATTGCTAGTAAATAGAGAAGACCACTTACTGAGTAGGTGTTAAGTTTCAGTGCAGGTTATGAGGGTCTGACATGACTTTTCCTACTACTACCTTGCTAGCTCCTAAATTGCCCAACACTCTTAGAAGTGTTAGACAATTTAGAAAGGTGTATCATAGCTAGCTCTTCTCAGTAAAAAAAACTTCTTATTTTTCTTTGAAAAGTAGTTCTTCAGCTTCACTCTGTGTGTCTTAGAGCTCTTGAGTTACTAGAGTCTGGATTGAGTCTGTATCAGCTAATTGGTTCAAGCAAGTGTAGCTCAGAATGATTGAACTTGCATAAGTGGGAGTCTGTAAGACTTTGAGGTCTCTGGAAAAGCCAAGTTTGTCATGTGGAGTACTTCTGTCACTATATAGAATAGGATGACTTGAAGAGTGATCAAGTGGTTTGTTTTGGTTTTTTCTTTTTTTTTCCTGCTGGACTCTGCAGAGAAGTTGGTTGTGGTGCTGAGCTCCTCTAAAGCCAGTAAAAAAGATGACAATACTTTCAGCTAACCTACCACATCTAGAGTGAAAATACGAAGTGTGCTTAAGAGAGAGGCTTTCCAACGAGACAGGGCTAATAAGTCTTTGCAGTTCTGCCCAGCCAGTGGTAAATTAACTGAGTGCTTGTTCTGACAAGTCCCATGACACAGATGAGTCATTCTTAAAGGATAAAAAAATCTGCCCAGATATTAGATTCTGTTGGGTTCAATGGTCCTGACCAGTGCCAAAAGCCAGAGGATATATAGCATGGCAGGATAAAAAAGTATTCTCCCATTTGTTGGCATATCAGTTTGAGGTTTTGGGATCACTGTCCTCACCAACCTTTCCCTAGCAAAGCTGTCAGTAGACTTGCCTCAGAGGGCAGCTTAAAGTAACCCAGGGCTCTGAGCTTCCCAGTTCAGTTTCCACACAGATGAAAGTGGAACAGCATTTAGCGCACAGTGATCTCCTGTGTGCGTGCCATTACTAGATCAGCCTTGGCCAAACTTCCAAATTAGTACTTTTTGGATAGGCTGAGTCAGAGGCAACAGCTGCTGCTACTGAAAGGATGAAAAATGAATCAGCTGCAAAAGGCTCATTAGTGAATGAAGGGGGCCTACCAGGTCAGAGCTTTAAAGTGACTTGCCTAGTGTATTTAAACTCAAAAGTTCTTAGTTCAGAGATTCCCATATCCCTTTGGAATTTAGGACTGCCTCTTGAGCAGATTCATGACTGTGCAATGATCTGTGTCAAGTCTCAGAATAAGCCATATCAGAACTGGGGTTAGAAGGTGAGCATGGGCTGGCCTCTTGGGTAAGGGGAAGCCTATTGTTGTGTTGTTTGGTGGTGTCTGCCTGAGTTCCACCTCACAGTGGAAGGGAAGCAATGTAGAACACTACTGCTGTTAGTGTTACCAGCCAGGTGATATGTGCCATCCAGAGCGTGACTGGCCATGCTGGAGTCCACAACAGGGACATATTGTGGGAAACTGCCATAGCAAGAACTTGTAAGGCCTTATTGAAGAAAGAAACCTAATTGCTGTACTAGGCTGAAGTTTCCGGAGTGGAAGTGTTTTATAATCATATGGAAATCCACAAGAAAGTTAAGCCTCCTGAGGCACTGCTAAATTGAAGGCCTCCTGTCACTTTACTGGTAGAGATGACTTTTGCTCTTCTGTATCCTGAAGGTATGTCCTCACCTAACATCAGTAGAGGGGCTATATTTATTTCAGTCAGGCCTTAACAGACCAGTCAGTGCAGATCAGTCATCTCTGTGGTATCAAAACCTGGTGTCCAAAATCAGCATGAACATCAAATTAGGGTGAACAACATAGTAATGCTTTTTCCTATACTGTCTCATTGTTTTTGCTGAAGAGTCATGTTTTTCATGATACCAGAGGCCCATGTGTGTGTCAGACTTCTATCCTAAAAAAACACCCTTGGTGTATTACTGTATGCAAATTAAAAACCCACCTAGGAACAAAGAAACAACAGGGTACATGTGCAGGTTACTCCTGGGACCAGTTTTTAATTTTGTAGGATTTTGGGAACAAGTGATCAGGACAAGATGACAAATCAAAGTTGTGTGATATAAGTAAGTTCCTGCACAGCTATCTGTTCCTTTTTTGTAAGACCATCAAATTATTTTGACAGTTCTTATTCTTTTTAAATATTCTCCTCCTTGTTGCAATATAAAGTAAGATTTAGAATTGAAAGAGCTGTCAGTGAGAGGAAGAGAGGCCCCAGTGATTGTTAGCTGCCTTTGCCCCATGTGGCAAACACTTTTGCACCCTTTATATTTCCTGATAATCAGAATTTCAAACAAAACCCCATATGCAGCTATCTTAGAGAGACCCTCCTAATCCAACTTTTGAAGGGGGAGGAATCCACAAGGCTACTTACAACAGTGGGCTTTGGGTTTCAAAAGCAGAATCTGGGACCCTGCTCATTATACAAAGTGTTATTACAACACTTGCTTATTTCCTTCTTGGAACATGTGGAAGTAATTACGGAGGAGTTGGAAGAAGGCACAGGGAGGCTGGAAGCGGCCTTGGAAAACAAAAGCAAATGAAATGTGGGCCACTTGGAAAGCTGTGCTGTGCCCATAGGTGAGAGCAGGTTTCTGTATCACATTGGCTTTTCTGGGGCCACTGTATTGCTGACTCAGGTGCAGCCCAGATGCAAATTATTTATGCTGTCCTGGCAATATGGGATGCTGTAAAGTACTGGTCATTTGGTCTTCATCTTTACTGGACCTGAGCAAGCTTCGTGAGCTTCCACATACATCAACAACAATTTTAATTTATTTGTACATGTGTGTGTGTGTGTGCGTGTGCAACTATAAGATTACTTTATCAGAAGATCTTAAAAATATTTCTGCAGTTGTTCTGATTTGTTTCTTTCTCCTTGTTAGTGTTTCCCAAAATAATTTATCAATCCTGGCTTTATTTAAAAGCACCAGGTTTTTTGTCTTATAATTTGGTGTTATCCTGATGTTCAGGATGCCTAGTGCGGATGAGAGCCCCACTGCAGCCAGCCCTGTACAAACATAACGCAGAGCCAAGTCTGAAAAACTTGGCAGTGTTAGTCTCGGAGCCTGTCAGGCTGAATCATTTGAGAATGTATCTGAGGGGACCATGTTACAGGTGGGCCTGTTGCAGGGAAAATAATACAGTTGTCATAGTGAGTAGCATTCTTCTGGGGAGGCAGATCTGCTGCTGGAGTGCAGTTGTGTTTAGGTTGCTGCTTTCTGTCGCAGAAAGCTTCCTTTTGCACTTGTGGTTTTTGTTAGCCCTGGAATTTGTGTCTTGGTTTTTCAACTGCCTAGCATACAGCAAAGTCTGTCCTGTTTTGGAAGGGGAAAGAAAGGTATAAAACTTTATTTTTCTGCTAAAATTTGAGTGGGAGTGGGAGTTGCTTAACTGAAGCAAGGCTTTCTAAGGGGCATAGAGAAGTACATTTTATATCTAGACAATCTGTATCACTGTAGAAGCACCAGTGGCAGCTTCATATAGCCTAAACATTTTGACTCTTGTAAAATGTAAATATAATTTGCATTTTAGAGCAAGCTTTGATGCTAATGGTTTTTATTTTAGGAGAGAGATAAACTACTGGGGAAAAAAAATCATATTTCTAATAGACAGACAAGACCCATAATTAATGTTGCACTAGGAGGCTTCCTCCATGGTTGGCTAATCACAGCTGAGTGTTAATAAGCATAGAGTTTTTTAAATACTTTTGTAACACGTTAATTAAGATAATTCAGCTCCATGTGTCTCTTGAGTTACCAGATGGCGACTGCATTGGTGGAAGGCTGCAATTAGAGTCTTTTCTTCCTTGCTTTTTCTTCCCTTGTCCTAAGGGAAAAAAAAAAGGGGGGGGGAAAGAAAGGCAGCTTTGGTGTGTATGGGATGACTGTGAGGGGTGCCTGTTACTGTACACATTGTAAATGCTAGTGTCTAATTATATAAATGCAGAGCTATATGATTGTATATACAAATCTCTTTGCTTTTGTTCTTCTCATTTACTCACATTATGATATAAAGAAAAATAAGCCTCCTCTTCAGAGTATGCCCTTGCTGGGGAAACTGCAATTTCCCTGTGAAGACTCCAGTCCTGCTCAGTTTGCTCTTCTGTCGTTGACTTCAGAGTAAGCAGCATCTGGAGCCAGTAAAGACAGAGAGCTTATTTTTCAGTGGACTTTGGCTTCTGCTTAATACACAGAGCCCAAAGAGGGTTATGTTTTGCAGTGTGTTTTTAGGGAGGCTTAAAATATTTTAGGGGCAGAGTCGGTGAGAAGTGTGTGTGCTCACAATGGAGGCCTTTTAGTGACTTCTGCCTTCTGTAAGTTAAATATAAAGAGGTCCTTTAGCCTCAGCTGTTGTGACTGGGCCCCGCCAGCAGCTGCTGGATCCCTCTGGGAAATGATCCATCTGCTCATGTGCTAGAGAAAGCCAGAGTGCTGAAAAGGAAAAGGTTCAAAATCTGTTCTCCTGTTTCCAGTCCCCATCTCCACCCCAGAAATTACAGACCAGTGGAAAACCCGGGCATCTGGTAATCTGTCTTTTATGGAGTAAATGCTGTCTCCGGCTAGAAACACACCAAATTCTCAACTGTTGCCAGCTGGCAGAGGACAGCTTCAGTCTGGGTCCCTTTTTAGATCTTGTATCTGCAGCTACTGTATTTGTATAGTTAAAATATAAAGGTTAGCAGACTTGTGGGCAATAAACAAAAAACCCCCACCAACACCCTGAGCTACCTGAAAGGAGGAACAAAGCATGCTACACCTCAACTGGGAGTGACCCACTTGTCCTCTAGGGATAAGCCTTTCTAATGACTGTAGGAGGCATTTGTGTTGGAATTTTGTTCCATGGGCTAAAAAATGTCCCCAAGATGCTGGAAGAGGGTAAAATCTCAAATATTATTCCCAGAGCAGGTCGTTGTTGTGCTTCACAGAGCCAGGCTGTCAAGTGAAATTCTGGTCTAAAGCACATGGCCCTTTGTGTTCAGCACAAACCTGCTGTTACAAGCAGTGACTGTCCCTGAAATACTTGGTGAGCCATTTCCTAGCCTAATACTAATTCCTGTTCTCTGCATGGGGAGGACAATGCAGGAGCAGAGGGTGCATAATAAGAAGCTGCTGTGCTGAAAGCTTTTGAGCGTATCCATGCAAACATGGTTAGGTGGAAATCTGAAGATATTTAGCACTCAGAAATGGAGCTGGCACTCATGCTGGGGAATGTGGGTGGAGGTGACTGCTTTTCTATCTACCAGTAAAGCACATCCCCCTGTCATTGCTTTCTCAACAGGAAGGAAGGTGTGGGTGGGGCGCAGCAGTGCTGTTGATCAAAACTTATCAAGGTGCCTTTTCTCTGCAGACCAACTGTCTCGGAAGTGGTTTTTCCTTTGGTAAAAGATGGTCTTTAGTTGAGGAAATTAGTCTAAAAGGGGTATGAAATGGTAACAGACTTGCTTCTTACTAAAACCAAATTGCTGCTGAGGGAGGGGCTGCCAAAAGCGGCTTCTGCTGTTTATAGGCTGGTTTGTATGCACAAGGGAAGAGGAAAATCAAGGATGTTGCCTGTCTGGATTTCACACTGAGAGCAAAGCTGGCTAGTCATCTTCCCTCATCATCCCCCACTGCAGAAAACTTGTGGAGCTAAACACCAGTCCTGCCTCAGGCAGAAGAAAATCTTGTGTGACTGAAGGGCCTGGTTTAAGGAGAAAAATTCCTGACTGGAAACTTGTGGAATTTTTTTGTTCTGCAGTCACAGTGTCACTGCAGCCATGGTGTTTTTCCCCTGCTTGCCCAGAGGATGACACAGCAGGAGGTTTGGGTTACAGGGACATGACAGATAGCTGCATGTTGTTTGAATAAAATAGATGTATATATTTTTTTTTTAATCTTTTTTCTCCTCAAGGCAGCAAACCACCTTTAGCCGAGACTCTTCAGAGTGTTGGGGATGAAATGAAGTTGACATGAGAAAACCAGTTAACTTGGACAGTTAATTTCCTGTCTGCTAGTTAGGAAGGGTTTATAAAATAAGTGCTTGCTATTGAAAACTGTATGTGTGCCAGTTGTATGTGTGCCTTTATTTTTGGTGCTACTTTGCAGGTTGTTTTCTCTCAGTAGGTAGTGGAGTTTGAGTTCATCATATGCTAGGTAGGGATCTGTCCTACCCTAGCAAATGTGGAAAGGTTTGAGACAACCCCTTCTCTAGGAGGAAAAGCTAAGTTTAAAAAAAACCAAACCAAAAACCAAACAAAACAGACCAAAACAAACCCCAAAAAGCCCCCCGACAAACAAATAAGGTAGTTACTTGCATGAAAACTTGAAGAGTGTGTTCCTTTAGGTGTGAGCTGAAGCACTGTAGTTTGTCTGCAGCACTGGAGGCTTGTTATTGCTCAAGAAGCTGCTCAGTCAGCTTCTCACTGTGGCTGACTACCCTGCTGCTGTGGGTAAGGACAGTAGTGACACTGTTATCTGGTTGGGTCACATTCACGCTTCTCTGAGTACCAGAGACAGAGGTTGGGAGTATATCCAAGAACTGGGCAAAGGAAGGGGTAAATTCTTTCCTTGTTGGCTTACTAAATAACCAGGAGATTAGTGGAGAGGTTGGGTGAAGAGGTCTTGTCCTGCTGTCAAGAACTGAAACTCTGCAAGGAGAGAAAAGAATGTTTCTTCTCCTACTAGCACATAGGGCCAGAGCTCTTGTTAGCAAATTCATTCAATTGCTTCCTAAGTGAAACTAATGTTCGGTATCAGCCCTGAATGGGATCCATGGGCAGCACTCTGCTAGAATTGCCAGACCCTATAGAAGCTGAAGTGGGTATTCTTGCTTGCTTTGACTTGCACTTCTAGCCTGCTGACTGCATCAGGCTGTCAGGTTTTTATTGTGAAAAAGCATTGTATGGCTTCAGATGCAGCTGATGTTTCAGACCACCCATTTAGCTGTGACAGGACCCAGATTGAAGGTGGGAGTAGAGAGGAAGGATTACTCTCAAGGGTGTCCTAGAGACTTTGGGGCTGTTTGGAAGGTCCTTGCCAGAAGTAATGTAGTAGTAGCTTTTGCAGTTCCCTCTGCTGTACTGAAACGATGCACACACGAATTTTCCAAGTTGAAAATTAAAGTATCCATAGCGGGGACAGGTAACTGAAAGATGGGGATATTTTCTGTTCATTTTGGATGCTTTTTCTGGATGTGCTATTTCTAAGACTAGTGGCAAGTCCTGTCGGAGAGAATAATGGTGGCAATGTTTCGGAAAACTGACTTGGACAGAGAAGTGCTCCTTGCCATTGTGGAATGCGCTGAAGCACAACTTGGAAGAGAGTGAATAAGCAAAGGCAATAACTGTGACCAGGAGGAAACTTTTGTATGTGAAAGGAGATATGAGAAGAGACAAAAAGATATACTTTGAGGCAAGCCAACTTTTTCTAAGCTCCTCTATAGAAATCCTACTGTAGGGCAGTCAGGATAGTACAAAAAAGTTATGATGAGGCTTCAGAGGAAACAGCATGAAAGAAATGGTATGGCCTCTAGCACTGGAACAATTTAACTGGGTGCTTATGTGTTCTGCTTCACAAAGGTGTTCATTCACCAGGTAGGTCATGCTGGCATGAGACAATCATGTCAAGTTGAACCAGACTAGGCGGGGACATGTTCAGCTTGATCAGGAGGGTGGGTTTTGTTTATAGGGTGTTTTTCCTCTGTGAGTCTTGATAGTATCTCTTAAATGGATTAAATCTTGTGGATGAAGAAAGAGAAGTACTGAGCTTAGGATCTTCCATTTCCAGTCTTATCCCACAGAAGTTGTGGTATGTCTAAAGGCCGGACAGTTTAATAACATCCAAATGGGGGGCACGTGTTCAGGGCATCCAGCAGAGCAGTTGTAAACCCAAATGGTTTCCAAAATGCTTCAGTGCTGACATGTAAGGTTCCTCTGACACTGCTCTGAGGATGGTTAAACCTGCTAGAGCACTTGTGTAGTCAGTGAGGAATTTACCTGAGGCTCAGTCCAACTTCCTCTTGGAATTGCTGGGATTTGAGCCTGACTCATATAAAGAGTAACTATAATTTGTCAGAATTGTTCCTGTCCTAGCTTTAGTGACCTTTGTGTCCTGCTGTGGAGAAGAAGAAATGTCACTGGATGTTCAGTGCAAAACATCCCTTCGTTAAGCAATGCTATACCCACATGTCTGCCCACGTAAGGTGAGCAATGCCATGACTTGTTCTCCCTCAGTTACAAACCTATAGTTAGGCACTCTAGTGATTATGATTAGAAGTTGTCCTGTTGTGGGTTTTGTTGTTGTTTGTTTGTTTGTGGGGTTTTGTTGTTTTTCTCTTTTAAGAATGCATTTTGTTAAGGAGGATTTTGCTGCCCAACAAAACAAGTGAGTGACCGAAGTACAGTTCAGTTGCTTGGTGCAGAAAAAAGGGGTGTAAGAGCCCTGACAGGGTCCATAAATCTTACTAGTTGAAAAAAGAAAGACACAGTGACAAGCAAAGATTGTAGAGAGGTCTTAGTCTCCTGTTTGGTGTTATGTCTGGGCAAAGAAGGTTAGTACTGGGGAGCTTTTATAATTCTGTAGCAATTATCCAGTCAGATTAAAGTATGTTTTAATCTTTCATTGTACGTATAAGTGGAGTGTATTGTGCTTGATCCTTACCACAACAGGCTAATCCTGCTTGAGCTTTGGAAATCGTCTGCTTATCTGTGAATTTCACTCTTAGTGATGGAGGCTCGGCTGTGCTCCTGGGGTTCATGTTCTGAGTATCTAAACTCCTTACTTTTGTGTCAGCACACAGCATACCATGTGCTTCCATCTGTGGCATTATATATGACCCTGGCATGGATTTGTGTCTTTATTACATTATGTTAGAAATGCTTTGTAATCCTGCATCAGGTCAGCAGTCAGGACCTAGGCTCAGTTTCACCTCAGCCCAGACATGGAAGGTCCATTTCATCCTATGGTGATTAGGTTGATCATTTTAGCCAACAACATTTCTTACTGTATCTAAAACAAGCTAGGTTCCAACGCCTCACACCTGTCTGTGAATCTGGTGGACGAGGAAGCAAGTGGAGCTTCCTGCTATTAGCAGAGTCATGGAAAAGGGAGCTGGTGAAGATACAATGTGATGGATGATGCTGTCACTGCAATAAAAAAGAAGTTCCTTAGTGTTGTGATTCTTGTCAAGTTGGTAACAGCTATTCAAAGAACATAAGAGCAGTTAACATTCCTTGAAGTGATTGAAGGTGATTTGGTGGGAAATTGGGTGGAGGTGAATACTGACTTAGTATTTTTTCATTTGCATATTAAAAAGTCATCTATATGGTAAATAACTCATGGTTTGGAATGGCATTTGCAGAAACTCCATTGCTTAACTTAATTTGTGCCTGTCGATCTGAAAATGACTGTTTCTTTACCTCAGAACAGAGTTCAGTGATGTTCATAGTGTTTCGACCTCTATCCAGTTGTTATCTCCTCCCTGTTTTCCAGCAGTGTATGCTGGCAGAGCACCAGCTCTCTCCGGAGATGTCATAAGCTTCAGTACCACTTAGAAATAGGGACTTCTGGAGCAGAGTTTTGTCCCCTTTGCACACAGTGCAAGAAGGTTTAAAACCCCCTTCTGTGCATCCTCAAAGCTTGATAATCAAGATGCTGGCAACAGCTTTGCAAGCCTAGAATATCAGTAACCCACTAGGAAGTTAGTAACTTCTCTAACTTGGCTCTCTTATTCTTCCCTGCCTGGCATGAACATTTGTTTTAAGATGTCTCACAAGCCCTGGGATACTTCCAAAAACATGTGTTTCAGGGTGGGAGTTGATGAAATTCCTGCATGTTTCTTTCTATTTCAAATATGCCAGTGCATATTTGACTGTGAGTTTAGGCTGATGCTATTGGCAAGGAGGTGATTGTTACAATATATGTACTTAGTGTCCCACAAATTTAAAGGACTTTTTGTAACCTTGTGGGAAGGTTAGTGTATCCACTGTGTGTACCCACTGTGTGTCACACCCCCTTGAAACTTGGGAGGGGTAAATCCCAGGGCGAAGGGGAGGGGAGGGGGGGATGGGGACAGGAGGGAGGGAGGATGTCACAGTTTTGCTGTGTCCTGTGAAATCTGTCAGGCTTTAACTGGGGCTGAAATAATGAAAAACCATCCTCCAGGGTTTAGTTCATGTGTCTCAAAAAGTGTCAGTGTGCCAAAGTAATATCCAAACAGCAGTGCAGCCTGGAGCTGGACCACGTAGCAGCATGCAAATACTGTTGAGGGTTGAACGTGAGCAGCCCACTGGGAAGCATGAGCTGGAAGGAGAGCTGGGTCAGGCTGGTCCCAAACCCAGTACTGAACCAGTATGGCACAGCCATGCTCTGGAGTGCTAATAAACAGTTCGCACAGGCAGCTATTCCCATCCATCCGCACCTTCTGGCTGCAAACGTAGCCAGGAGTGGGCTGCTCTGGGCATGCTTCTGGCAGCAGTTGGCACCCAGCTTTTTTCACCCCTTGTGCGTCAGTAGTTTATTCTGTGGAAAGCAGTAAATGGGATGCTCTGCCTGGTTCTATATAGCTGTGGATATACCAGTGCTGCAAACTTCGGGCATCAGCTTTGCTGCTGGTGATCTAAAGGATTGTGCAGAATCAGACTCGTACCTTTTCTTCTATTAGTTCCAGTTTAGAGTGCACATACAGAGGCAATGGAGCATGTGAAAGCTGAGAGTACTTAGGTACCGGAGGAACAGTTCACTGTAGTGGAAATCTGCATTGTCTGTCCCAAGCATTCTGGGTGCCTGTGTTGCTGTACTGGACCCTGATTTGCAAAGGTGCTGTGTTCTGTCAGAGATGCCAGGTCCAGCGGGGAGTAGAGGTGTTTGACTTTCTCAGTTTTTCAGGCACCACCAGTCCATTATTGTACCCACCCAAGCCTTGCCTGGGTCAGCTTCAGCAATTTTTAATTCCATCAGCACTGTCTAGTAGACCTTCCCAAAGCTACATGCTCCAAGGTGCTTTGTTCCCCTGAGGCTGCCTTGCAAAGGACAGTTCAGGATCAGTTCAGTCATGTTGAGAATGGAAGGTGCTGATGTTCTGGCTACCTGATCGAGACCTTTTTTATCTGTTTCCCCAGCACATAAACAGTGTTCTTCCATCACATTTTAAAATACTTGTGACACTCTTGGATGCTGTGATGGCAAATGAAGGTTGGGAGTAGGGAAAGGGGAGGTGACTAATTCCCTTCCCTGTTAAGAGAACAAGTCAAGGACAACTGCTTGAAGAGACCTATCAGCTGCTTCTCTCCTTTTGTGTGCCAAGTGGCCTGTGGAGGTGAGGAGGGAACCAGTTTGCAGTTGCATAGCTGTGCCATCGCCTGAAGCCCTTTGGTAAGGAGGCAAAGTAAGGGTTCTGCAAGTGCCCAATGTGGTGGTATTTCCAAGCTTTTGAGAGTGCTACTGTAATGTAAATGAGTGCCTGTTTCTTGTTGGG